TCACTACTCTTATCTATTTTCTCTTTACGTCGCCATGGAGAGGCGTAATTATGGTAAACTTATCATTGATAAAAACAAATTCGCTAGTTATAGGTTAAGAAGTTTGCTCAAAAAACAAACCTGAGACGATCGTTGAAGTTGTTGTAGCGAAGCTCATTTGGAATAGAAATAGTGCGTATGAAGAACCGGCCTTGAATTACATAATATGAGGAGCTGTAGCAGTTTCATAGCAAGAGAATGGAGGAACCTTGTCTGGAGTGGATGTATCCTCACGCTCAGGATCAAAAAAGTAGTCTCCTACGCCAACAAATGGGTTAACGTATCTCTCCCCGAATGTGAACCCGTACCCGAACATCCAGTAAGCAAGACCTGAATGCATGTGGAGTTTGGTATAAATTTCGAGTTAACAATTAGTATAAGTAACAAAACGACATAATTCTAAAATATGAGCTTTTGTCTCAATTTCCAAGTTACTTCATCTTCCCTTGCCTTCATCTCACTTATCTAGGCTTCAGCTTTTTTGTTTAAAGAAATTATTTTTGAACATAATTTCATAAATTATGACAAGCAATCTTGTTGTATTTTATGTCATAACAGCTTTGTATTGAATCACTTTTTGCGTCTAAGTTTCGGCTTAACGGCGTCTATAGAGACTTAAATTCCCTGCCACATCATTTATTCGACCCATCCTTGCCGCAGCCGGTGTTAAAGTTGGCATGCTCACTCACCCTTGTTCCACGGCTCCAGCGGAGGCTCACGGAGACGATTTTATGCACAGCACAGCATTCTGACCTTTGATGACATACTAGTCGGGAGGCATTAGAGATAACACACACTCTTTGCGTAATTCTAAGATGAACAACAAGAATGAGCAATTTTCTGGAACGAATGATCTGCGGTAAGACTTCCACGATTGCTTGAGCGCATCGAAGTCTTTTGGGTGCCTTAAAGTTATTGTCATCCGTGAGTAGTAAGAAGAAGGGTAAGCTAGCATCTGCTAAGCTTTGTGGATCCCTTGATGAATCCTTAGCATGGCAACTTGGGTACCGACTACGGCCACTAAGAAGGAGTCGAATATACGCT